TATAGCCTAAGAATTCAAGGAGAATCTGCATTGGCCGATTGTGAAGCTACTGGGACGTGGATAATGAAGCTTTAAATTGCTTTGTGCCAGACGCTTAATGTTATTTAGGGCAGAAAAATTTGAGCTTCAAGGCGCTATTACTATTACATAATGCTCCATGTCACCCACAAGATTTGAATCATTCCAGCATCAAAATACTGTTCCTAAAACCTAACACTACTTCGTTACTCCAACCACTGGATCAAGATATTATTTATTCCTTTAAAACATATTACATAAGAAGAGCATTACAGTGAATTTTTGACGTAACCTATTCAAAATCAATTAATCTAATGGAAGCTTGGAAGACAGACATACAGGACAGTACTGTATCGACATTGTAGCTTTGTCTCAGAAAGAGCCGAAAGCATCTATGTTAAATGCATGTTAGAAGAAGATATAGCCTTCTTCATTTGAAATAGAAAATGTGTGTTAATCGTCAGAAAATGGAATTGGTGGCTTAATAGAACTTGGTGGCTAAATCAATCGGAGATAAAGGTTTTGATGAAATGGCTATTGAGGACGTTGAAGATTTATTAGCGGAAGAAGAAATTAACAAAGCAGATTTGATAGAAATGGCATCCGAAGCCGTAAATCAAATCGATTCTGAGGACACCAGCACTAATGAAGATTGTGCAGTTAATAATTAATTATTTAAAAAAATTAAAAGAAGGCCTAAGCTTAGTTGAAAATCCTGAATCATTTTTCTTTACTGCAGACCCTTCCGCTGAAATAAGCAGAAAATTCAAAAGGGAGTTGCAAAACTGTCTAGCTCCACATCGAGAAATTTACACTGACCCAGTAAGAACTAGTAAGCAAAGTAAAATCACAGATTTTTTTAAAGAGAGGAAGAAAATGCTAGAACATTAAATGAAGAAAGAAATTCTGAAAGTGAAAGCGATCTCATTCTACCAAAAAAAATGTTCTCGGTCGATTGTACCGAGCAGTAACAATGAAGAAATTTATTAAACTAAAGTTGCATTAAATTAAAATTTGTAATATTTTTCCTTTGTGTTGTACATATATATATATGTGTGTGTGTTTACTAAAAATTAAGTTGTTTATGTAGAATTAAAAAAAAAATTGTTTTTGATAAGTTTTCAGAATGTAACCACCCTTTTATACTGGCTCTGGGTCTCGTACAACACGGTATTTTCTATAAACCTATCTACCGTGTTACATGAGGGTTACCTATGTTGCAGAATTGTTTCTAGGTGAACAGGCAGGAAAAAAGGTTTCAGAAATTTATGGTTACTGCTCTGTGTATCCACAGCAAACACAGAGTGCATGTGTGAAAAACAAACAGTTGACTAATATCAAACTAGTTTTTGTAACTGCGCTGTGTCAATACAGCAATTTTTTTTTTATTGTAAAATGCTCATCATGCTTGATATTTTCTATTTTAAATCAACAGAAAAAGCAGCTATAGTTGATATTTGAGGCCTATTACTGTAACTGCTGATCTTCAGCCATCAGCAAGAGTATGTAAAAAAATAATTTTTTTGGCATGTTATGTATGTTTTATTTTTAAAAAATCATTTGCTAACAAAACAATATATAGAATTTTTTGGCATACTTATATATGTTATTTTAAATAAATTGCTTACATAATTGCATTAAAAACAATAATTAATGTATATATTATGTAAGTACTATTGAATTATGTTTTTATTTTAAACAAATTGTTGACAAAATTGTATTGTATAATAAATGTAAACTTACATTAAACTGATATATCTCTCTCTGTATATATATATATCTATGTTAAATAACTTATGTTGTAAAAATACTGAAGGAATTGCCAATTTTTTGCTCACCATAATCACTTTCTTTTTTGTGGATATTTACAACACCTGGCAATCAAATCACATTTTTACTTCCTTGTACGAAGTAAAAAGAAAGTATTGTAATGGCAAAAAGTTTCAGGCAGCATATTTCAACGAAAATATCCATTTTGACCGCTATCGAATGCAATTTAATGATGTTTTTGCGTGATATCTGTACGTAAAGAGAAAATAAAAAACTCGTTTCCTCGAAAAAAATTATAAAACTGCTTTAAAATTAATTCTGAAGAGAATTTTTCGTGGTGTCTGTACGAACGTATGTACGTACGTGCGTATCTCGCATAACTCAAAAACTAGTAGCCTCAGAATGTTGAAATTTTGAAAGGACTGCTATAACATGCAGATGTGCACCTCATATTTTGGTTGCAATCGGCCGCACCAAACGTAAATATATTTATATACAGGGTTACCCAAATTAAACTTCCCCAACTCAGAGGCCTGTGCAGAGTGTTGTATGGGTCATAATGAGATGAAATTTTAAAAACAGACACTTCAGATCACGCACTCGAGATTTATTACACAAAAAAAAATCAGTACAAGAAGTTGCCAATAGGTGGCGCTGTAACACTAGTAATGTGCATATTGCAGTAACGTGATTTGCAGAAATAAAGCTTCTATGCAACGTATCCAAAAGACGAGCCCTACAAAAGTGGAAGAAAGGCCTTGCACAGACACTTGTTTCCAGCTCGCTGATGCAGAATGGCTACTTTGAAAGACAAAGCTCTGTTAGTGAAATTTTTCTACCAGAATGACGAGAACTCCTGTGCTGTGATAAGAGCATTCCGTCGGTTGAAGATCTTACACCGAGGACGAAAGACACCACGTGCTCTACGAGACATGATGAAGAAGTTCGAAAGAACGGGATAGCTGGGAATTTTACCAGGTAGAGGACGACAGATTGTGGAATCTGCACGCGTAGAAGATGTTGCTTTGGCGGTCGTGAACCCCACTAGGCAATCGCCACATGGTGTTGTCAGTGTGCCAATTGTTTCTCGTTCGTATGTGCGTGTGTATCTCGCATAACTCAAAAGCGAGTAGCCTCAGAACGTTGAAATTTTGTATATAGGACTGCTATAACATGTAGATGTGCACCTCATATTTTGGTTGCAATTGGCCGCACCAAACATATATAAATATATTTATATATATAACCACTCTGTTACCCGGCTCAGTGATCTCAGTTTCTTTACTCTTATATGTTTGTAAATTGTACATTTTTTGCTTTAAAAATGATTGAATTATGTTGTTTTTATCTTCCGGTTAAGATTTTTATGCCTTTAGTAAATCTGTATGCAATATTTTTAGAATTATCAACAATTTTAAAGTTGTTTAAGTGCCGCTAAGCCTTTTTTTTTATGGTGGCCATTGATTGTTTACATTTGAAACAGCAGACTAGTGGATTTGTTGCCAATCTAGAGAAACTTAGCTTCGCAACAACAAAGATAATGCCTTCATTTATTATTGCCAATTAAATCATGCTTATTCCTTTCTGGAATGTTTTCAAGGAAATAAGTGTTTAAGATTTACTTCGTAATTTTTAATATAGATATTTTGAGTTTTTATGTATCTCTGCCTTCTTGCGAAGTGAGAACTGAATTAATTGAATGAGAAATACTAAATCGCCTGTGAAAAACTGTTTCTTTTTTTGTTTTGTTTGCTTTATTTCTTTTATACATCATTCTAGCTTTATTATAGTATTTGAATAGAACATGTGGCAACGATTAGATAATTCTATTCTAAATGATATAAATTTTGTGCATTCTGAGTTATAATATGAACAAAATATAATACTACAGTCAAAAGTCGTTAATTCGGACACCCATAATCCGGACCTCAAAGCTACAAACTTTCTGCGCATGCGTCGCGTAAGACCTTTACGGCTGCGAATTTGCATGTGCATGTGCGCAAAATACATTTACGAATGCACGTTTAATGTATAACGGACAGTGTAAGCTAAGCTAAAATTATCTATTTCAGTTAATGTTGCAGATTGCGTTGTTCCTTAATCTTCGAATTGGTTCCGGCTTATTATTTTTTGCACACTGTTAGAGTAATTTTATAAAAGTAAGCTTGAACTTTCAATTATGTCAAATAGAATTTCCGATTTATATTTACTAATTGTAACGGATCTACAAAGCAAAAGAATGTTTCGGAGTCCATTAAACAAAAAGTGGAATAGCTGCAAAAAATGAACAAAGGCATATCCTTTGTTTATCTAAACTTTAACATTTGTTTATCTTTAACGCAGCGGCGCACACGCAATGAACTGGAAGTTGATCTGTCAGCACTATCCTTATCTTCAGGGCAGATGTTTTTATTTTATTTGGCTTATAATTGCTTACTAAATGTAGTATTTCATCTCGATGTACTCCGTCTTTGATATAATTTAAATCAAATTCCTCGTCATTATAATTCGCTTCCGATAGCGAAGAAAGTGACTCAGAGGTTATTGAAAATGAAAAAATTTCGATTGGCAAATTGGTCGGTATTCTCGACACAGCAATTATAGGACTTGAACAGCGGAACTTTGTAACTGAACAAGAAATTATGTCTGTTTATAATTAAAGAGAAAGTATTATCACATAAAAAACGAAGCAACTTAAACAACTTACATTGAAGGAAATGTTTAATAAAGTAAACAAATAAATATTAAGCTTGCTTTTTTTTTTTTTTTTTTTTTTTTTTTTTTTTTTTTTTTTTTTTTTTTGTAAATTTTGATCATAATTCTTTATTTCGTAAATTACAGTTTCATATTTTTAATTTTATAATTTCTGCATGCCATTTTACCAGATTTAAACTGATGATCTATAATCCGGAATCGCCGAAGTCCCGACGAGTCCGGATTAACGACTTTTGACTGTATTAAGTGAATCTAGCACCAGAGTGTCGCTATGGTAAACAAATACTAGAGTGAATTTTAAAGAATGCATTTATTCTATTGTGGTTTATGCGCTGTCGGCGAAGTAGATTTAATTCAATCCAATAAGTTTAAATGAAATGCAAGAAAAAATGCGTATAATTTAATATTCCGTACAAGGAAGTCATGTGGTGTACATGTCAGATTTTTTTTAAGCTAGAATTATGCTAATGCCCTTTGAGAAGAGAAGTACAGACTGGTTTTAAAACACTAGGAAAACAAAATTTATTTCATAGCATAAAAACAAAAAATTTAGGAATCTTAAATCTTTAAAACTTAAAAAATAATGCGAAAAATGATGTTTCTTAACAATACTAAGTATATGTTAATGCATAAGAAATATATATTGCTTATTCATAAATTCAGATTAATAAGTAAAATCTAGTTTGTAAGAATACAATATGATTAGAAAAATCTTTTTTAAAACTATTTTTTCCTATTAATATTATAAAGTAAATAATAGCAGTGTACATTGCAGCTGTTTGATAACATAAATATTGGGCTCATTAAAATAATCAATTAAATTGCACAGAATTAACTTTTTTACTTGCTATATTGTCATATCAAATACAACATCAACACAGTTTAGAAGTCAGGCACATATAGTAGCCATTTAAAAATTTAAGAATGAGCATATAAAAAATTTTAATGAATTCTCAGTAATGATAATTTACAATCTGTAAAGAAAACAATGATAATGTTTTAAAAACAAGTTACTAAAATAATGGATGTAGATAATATAATTCAAAAGTTTGAGTTTGATGTGCTTTTAGCATTCATAATTATGCACTGTTGATTTAATATAAAATAATAGAGAACAATATTGTCACAGGAAACATAACAACCATATTAGTTAATTGTAATTATTAATTTTTCCATGTGCAATAAATACAATCTTCTTCCCCCCAAAAGGAAATCTGTTATAAAAATAAAAAATAAATATACACAAAAGTTTGGCACTTAATTTTTCTAAGTATATTTTAACTGTAACTGAATATATACAAAATGAATATGAATAAGTTCTATAGCTTATGACTCTAGTGTATATATTAAACCTTAAAAATATTACTGCATGAGTAAAAATAAAATAACTCAAAACAAATATAAATTACATAAAATACAGTATATGTATGTAACATGGATTATATTTCATGTGAAATAACATATATAATCATAAATTGATTTCATATTACTTTACAAAAAGTTCCAGACTTGTGCCATTAAGCATAAAACACTAGCATGACACTTTAAGCTTAGACATATATGAAACAGCTGATAAAATTCAACATGATCATTATTAATACCATAATTTTAGAGTAATTAGCAAAAGACGTTTTCGAATAATACATAAGTTGAGTTATATATAAATTACACGAGTTCTAATTAGCATCTTAAAACCTATAATGATGTTCACTTTGAACTATTTTAGCTTCAAAATTTCACAAGTAATAAATTGCCTTAATTCATAAAAATGTACATGAATAATTTAAATAAGAAACAGTAAACTGACCCCCCTTTTTTTGAGAAACTCATACTCTTATCAAGTGATACCGCTTAATGATTTTTAATAGTAACAATTAATTCTGATGATAATAAAAATATTTATGCCATGTTTCATCGCTCCTCAGGTAATAGAAGTATAAATCAATTGAATGGGTTTCATTATTTTCATAAACTACCTTTTTCCAATAATATTCATCATGAACAATATTTTCAAACAGTTCAAATTATCTACCTTAACATTCTAGACATCTAAATTCAATAGCTAATTTATGAAGTAAAGTTATAAAATGTACCACCTTTAAGCTTTCCACTTATATTTCAAAGGGGGAAAAAAACTTCACCATAAACAAAGTAATGTTCTATAAATCTACCTACAAATTATTTAGCTGTAAAAAGCTATGAACAATTTCAGGAGACAGTGAAAATTCATCAGTTTTCAGCATGTACGATGGATTTAAATGCGTCATTTCAAAGCTGTGGCAAACATATATTAAATTCAAGGCATTCAAGGCATAAAACTCTAAAATTTTAAAATAAGATAGATAACACTGAACCAAATCATTAAATAAGGAAACCTATATATATATATATATATATATATATATGCAGTTACTAAAGAAATATAAAATTTTAATAAAATGTTTATTCTAAACAAATATTTTTAGAATCAATTAAATAGTACTACTAATGTGCAATTATATATATTGTGAAAGTAATAGAAAAATTATCACATTTCAATCACATTCATTATAACAGTATTATATTATAGTAAAAAGACTCACTCTAAAAAAAACCTCTTGATCAACATACACGATATATTTTACAAAATAGAAGTTAAAAGTTCTTTACATAATTAAGGGGAACTAAGTTTTTTCCTCAGGATTTTCTTTAGATTGAGATATGCGAGGTTCTATACTCAGTAGTCTTGATTCTAATGCAGCTTGTTGGCTTCTTTTTACAAAGGAGTCTTTATCAAGCCTTTGTCGAATGAGATCTCGCAAATCAGATGCTGCTTGTGCTAACTGTCGAGACTGAAATTAAGAAACACATTTATGCATATTCTTAGTAAATAAAATACAAAGATTAAAATATGCGCTATAAATTTTATTTACATAAAACTGAAGTTTAATAAATGCAATATAAAAATCTCTCTTATTAATAAAAAAATATCATTTGTTATTATGCTTTTTTTAATCTTAGAAATACTTCTAAAAAATCTATTTTCAGCCAATTTAAGCTCTACAGCAACAAAACGCAGAGAGGAAAAAGAGGAAGCAAAATAAAAAACAATGCGAGATTTTTATCCACTTTGGATACACTTGCATTGAAAAAACAATTGAAATGTTTTTTTGACTCATACAACTTTCCCAAGAAACTTCTCAACTGGTTACACTCCTGTACTAATAAATTCCTTATCAAACTAAAAAAATTCATTCAAGAAAGCTACAACTACATAAAAATCATTAAAGACATGATTCTCGATTTTAGTCTTTTCAGACTTTCTAATAGTCTCACTCAATGCAAAATTTATTTTAAAGTCAATTTTCTGCATCCGCAGTTTGACAATATTCATTTCTCAAAAATCATCAGAGATTGTAAAGATTACTTCCCCGCAGTTGACACAATACCAATGGTTGCATTTAAATATCAAAGGACCTTAAGCAACTTGCTCACTAACCACCATGAAATAGATGAAAAGCAGAATGACATTGTAAGACACCAGTTTACAGCAATTACGTAGATTCTCATCACCAGCACATAATTACTGGCAACCTGAATATCATACAAAACCATCAACTAAAAACACTAATGAGTTATGGTACAAAATTTAGACCAGTCAGAAACATGACTAAAAATTACTGTTACAAGACTTTCGAAAATAACATCAACGAATTTAAAGCAAGCTATCTACTGAATTTATCCATAGATACCTTCTTAAAAATGGAAAGCTAAAATTCTCAACGCATATCCATCCCCGAAATCAGTCACCTCAAGTTTAAAAGTACACTGAATTGGTCGCAACTTACATCAGATATTAAAAAATTAAAACAGCTTTTTACTATTACAAAAATAGATAAAGCAACTATAACTTAGCTTTAGCATTATAAAAACAATTCTACGCAGAAATTATTCATAAAGAACTTCTCAACGCTACTACTTATCAATTAGCCAACCTTACAGAAACATCTATAATAAACAGGATTAAAACTTTTCATAAGAAACTCGATATTACTTTCAATACAAACTACAACAGATTTACTAATCTTTATGGCAATTCCCAAATTCCATAAAACACCATTAAAATTCAGATTTATAGCTAATGGAACTAATAATTACAAGAAAATGTAGACTATTATTTTTCAATTCATCTTAATAAAATCTGTAAATTTATTTTCAATGATTGTAACACTAATCATAACTATTGCTGGATCATCCATAATAACACTCCTGTCATTAATACCATTCAAACAATTAACATCCAAAACATTAAATGCTATGACTTTGAAAACTTATATACCTCACTTCCTCTAGAAGAAATCTATACCAGTTTACTTGATCTGCCTAAACTCTTCCCTGATATGCTCAAAATTATGACTCTTGACAAATGGAAAACCTACCTAAAATGCACCCTTTTTCATAACTACATCAAGTTTCAAAATCAACTTTTTAAACAAGTCAGAGGATTGCCAATGGGCTTATATTCCAGCTCCTCGATCTGTAATATCTTTTTATTTATCAAAGAATTTAACTTCCAAAAAAACTACCACCACAAGAAGTTAAATTCCTACAAGTACACACTTACAGATATATTGATGACCTTATTACAATTAATAATTTTGGTAAAATTGAACACCCCGAGATTTATCCAAATTGTCTTACACTTACTTAATGAAACAACAAATAATATAGAACTCACTAACGATTACAAATAATATAGAACTCAAAATGCATAAACATGAGGGTGTCGGGGACGGTTACTCGAGTTTTTTCGGATTTCTCTACAGAAATTGCTTTTTACTCCAAATTGAATTGGCTAAAATGCTTCATATGAAAAGGTTCTTAGAGTATCAGCATTGGTTCGTGATCCCTTCTATTAGCGGAAATATTTGGCCTGACTAGAATTGCCTGTTTGGCTTTACCTTATAACTCGAGTAAAGACGACACACCTTCGTATTTATGTATTTTTATTAATTATTGTTCATTGAACGGGAGTTGGTTTGTTCCCCTTGAAAAGTCACTAATTTCCGATCAATGACAATGATTACACGTTTTTAATTTTTCCTTTTACAATTGAAATTTTGTTCTTCATGATGATTTAATTCCAGTCCCCGTTAAAACATTATTAACATTTTACTTTCAAGTTACTTCAAAACATCTTTCAAAATATAACTTTAATCAATTAATCAATATTGTTTAGGAAATAAATTATTATTAACTAACTTTGCAGCAATTGCGCAAGTAGTAGTCATTTGTTTTCACACTAAATGAATTTAAGATCATACAACATTATATATATATACAGGGTGTTTCAGCAAAGATATAGTACACCTAGACGATGGAAAAATACATAGCTATGCAATAGTCGGAAACGCTTTGTTTATACGGGGGTGATGACATAAAACACAAGGAAAAAAGAACACAAACAGAGTGAAAATATATGTTATGTTTATTATGCTTAGTACAGCAGAATTCCAAAAATAAGAACAAAAATAGATGATTGCCATCAAAGAAGGTGCTCCAAATTACGTTCAGAACATGTCCTTAACATGGGATCACCAGGGGTACTGCAGTGCATTCATTTTGATCGACTGCTTCGCCTGGACGTATGTCAAGACACTGATGTATGAAACCCATGTTAGATGTGCTAAGGAACTTGTGCGCATCATGGTAGCTGCTGGGGAAGTCCAGACATGCCCGGTATTTTCAGGAACATCAGATCTTTTATATGCCAAAGATCTAAGACCTGCATCACAGTCAGGGGTTGTAATTTCAAGCACCTTCTTTGATGATGATTGTTGTCTATTTTTCTTATTTCTTGATTTCTACTGTAACTAAGCATTATAATATGTTCCTCATTTTCTTAGTGTTGTTCCTTTGTGTTTTCTGTTGTCATACCACACTAGGAAAGGCTTTTCGACCGTGTACTGCTATGTGATTTTCCATTTACATGTACTCTATCTCTCCTGAAAGTTTGTAACCGATTTACTGAAACACCCTGTATATAGATATATTATAATAATAACAGTAAAAGTCACCAATAATTTTGATGCCATGTTGAATTTTTATTTTATTGTAGTTTGTTTACATCTGAAAACATGCACAGCTTACAGGCATTCATGGATTATTGGAATTCTACTGGCTACTAAAAAAACTACATTTAGTCATAAACTGAAAATAAAATTTTACTACACTATAAACAATTTTATAATTGTGTGCTTCTAAAGATTTTAATAAACAAATCATTTGAAAGCTATATTAACTCCTTTGCGATGGCATGCTGCTCAACTGAAAGCCCTTTGAAGATAGATGTATCATACATGCATCATTCCTAAATGCAGACTTGCCAACTCTCCCGATTTAGGCGGGAGACTCCCGATTTTCGACCGCTCTCCGACAACCCGATTTTACAATATATTTTCTCCCGACTTTTTCTTATTTCTTAAATTTCTCACGATTTTTATGGAACTTGGCTTAACACTTGTTATATGAGAGAAAAAAAAAAAAAAAAAAAGGATTTTGAATGTCTAAAAGCAATTGAATTTTATCTAGATTATATCTAAAACAAAATCTTGTGAATCAGATGAGAAATTTTTCTGCTTTGTAAGTGAGAGCATACGTATCCAGAAACGTCCTTCTCCAGTTTTCCAATGGGCACCGAGCTCCACTGCGTGTCATCTGACATATATCAGCCAATGAGCACAAAGCAAGCTCATGCTGTTATTTGTATGTTCTTTAGTTAATTCGTTCATCTTGTCCTGAGTTATGTGAGTACACGTGCCTTTGGGAAATAGTTTTAGAAATTATCATCTTTGTTATGTCTGCGAGAAGGTGAAATACTCGTTTACGTTTCAAAATCTACACACAGTTGACTTTCCTTCCATTATTTCCTCAAGGAAATGTAATAAATTTGCGATGGTACCAGTCGTTGCGATTTTTCGATTTCGCATGGTCTCAAACTGTGCGTACAACAAAAACAGGGCAACAGAGCTGTTTTGAAAACAAAAAAAAAAAAGAGAAATTAAATTTTTCTTCGGAAACAAAAAACCAAAAAGTATTAATGCAGAATGTCTGTTCTCTGCCTTTTACTGGAGCACAACCTGCCACTGAATGCTCGGATCACGCTGCAGCTTTATTTAGAAAATGTTCCTGATAGTGAAATCGCTAAGAAAATACTTAAGTGCAAGAACCAAAAAAGGTGCAATTGTTAAAGAAATGGATTTGAAAAATAAATCTTCAGTTATTGATCGCATTAAAATAGCTCCGTTCTGCCTCTCTACGGATAGAAGCAATAATACCGATTCAAAAGTGTATCCATTGTTGTTCTTTTTTAATCCAGAGTCTTCAGAAATTGAGTGCAGTTTACTTTCTGTCCCCACTTCGGAAGGACATTTGACAGGCTTTAATATAGCACAGCTAATTATTAAAACTTTAAAAGAAAATGCAATCCCTCTGGATAATTGCTTAGCACTTGGTGCCGATAATACACCAGTATTGGTAGGCTTAAAGACTGGTGTTGCAGGCATGTTAAGAAAGGAAAATTCAGATTTGCATATTATGAGGTGCAGCTGTCACCTCTTAAATTTAGCAGCTAAAAGAGGGGCAGCTTCTTTACCAATAAATGTGGATGAACACATCATTGTTGATATTTATTAAAATCTTGAAAGGAGTTCTAAAAAAAAGGAGGAAAATTGAAACAGGTCCAAAAGCTGCACATAGCAGTTTACATTAAGAAAACTTGGATGAAGTTTATAAATCAGCTAGGATTGACACCAGTGGAGTTTAATTGGAAAACTGAAAGATGCTGATGGAA